CTCTTGGGAACATACACTCTTGCTTTTTACATCTTTTTAATGGGCAAATAAAAGCAGATGCCTGCGTTTTTGCGACGATAAAATATTTGCAATACCACGCGATTTCCGATGAAATAGTATAATCAAGTATTGAGATAAGACTACGGACTCAAAGGAATTCATCACTTATAATTTTAATTATATATATTTGATATTGTCGATTGTATTCTTGAAGATTATAAAACAATACATTCTATATTTCCATTCTATAGTTTGGTGATAAAATTACGAGAAATTATATTCTTTGCTTCATTAATAACTTATCCGTGATAAACTTGATAATGCTAATGAGGTATGAAACTATTATATCACAATTCAAAGCAGAGATTCATTTTTACAACAAAAGTTTTTAATGGCACAATTTTCAAATACTGAACATTAGAATTATCATTTTAAAAATTAAAATCCAATATAAATGCCATTCAAGCGAGAATATATTTTTTTAAGACGTTGTAATGAAAGGATGAGATATCATAATTATTTTTTTACAAATTTGTGAAATACATTAAAACATCATCACGAAGAGAGGGGATCAGCGTCCCTACATATTAAGAGTTTTTTTGTTTTGTTTTGTTTGTTTTAGTAATAATATAGTAGATGCAAAAATAACTGCCACGTTTAATTATAAACAAGAAAATATGATAAAATATGAAAATGATAATGTAAAATTATTATAAAATCCAATTAGATAATTAATATTGGTAAGATAATGTTTATATATACGAACTGCTGAACTGACGTAATGTATACTTGAATAGCGAAGAAAAGTTTCAATGTAATAAAAATTGTAATAATCTTTTATGAAATTTGATTAATTTTATTTCTTGCCGGGGTTATTAATAGAAGCTACTAAACAGTTTATTCGGTAACATATTGTTCCGATGAATTGAAAACGATAAAAATGAAAAAATATTACAAACTAATAAAATCTTAGATCTCTTGCAAGTGTCACATTTTTGAAATAAAATAATTTTATTTGAACCGTAAATTTTGCTTGTAAAGCATTATATGATAAATAAACTAAAAATTTATAGCAAAATTTGTGACTTATCTATGCTTGATCACCATAGTGTCCTTATTGTAGGTATAAATTATATTTTGATGACCATACCTGCAGAGTTAAAATCAATCTTTAACGAACGAGCCTTTGGATCACAATAATTTCGAAATATTTCACATAGTGAATAATTCATGCAAGACCTACAGTCTATACATATTGAATTCATATATGATTGATAAAACAAACATTAATATTGCTATTTTTCAATATTGAATAACCTATTCCTGCCGGCCATATTAATATAATACTTCTTATTGAATGTCAAAATTGTCGAAGATTGATGAATTTTTAATCTACATTATGGGCTGATAGAATCACTGAAAAAGAAATAGTACACAATACGTGAGAAAATTAGCAATTATTTGTCAAAAAAAAAAAAAAAAAAAAAAAAAAAAAAAAAAAAAAAGTATTTTTTATTAGTGAAATCAATTTTAATCATGAAAATACAGTAAAATTACAAATCCACATAATTTTAATTTAATTGCAAGTTCAATACAAATAAGTGGCATTTGATATTCAAGTATGTAAAAAATAATAATTTTTTTCGTTTATTAAATAAATATATATTTTTTTTTGTCTAATTATTCTATGAATTATAAGATTTTTGACTTTCAAGTCGATAAGAAATAGTTCATTCATCGTCAAATATTCCTATCTGTGTTTGATTTCCGCGCCGTCTACATTAAAATCTGTATTATTTTAAATAATTCACTTCATTCAAATATTGATAGTAGAGTCCATGAATAAAGACGAATTTTGGAAAGACTAATAGAAAAATGTGCTCTAAAATTATTAATTAAATAAATCGGCCGATCGCGAACAAACACCTATAATGATTAATTCGTCTTAAATTCTGTACAATGATAAAATAGCTCAATGCTCCGGATAAACCAAGTTCAATTAACAAGAAGTAAGCTAAGATAAAAAATGTAAGCTTTGTCGAATATCCGAAGCACATACATACGTCAAAGCCATAATCAAGCGATAACGATTTAGTACTCGAGCTAACACGATTAGCAATTTCAAATAGATAGACAAGAAAGCGACAGAAGTATCAGGGCTGAATGGCACATACATTTATGTATATATGTATATAAGATTGTACAAGGCCAATAGAGGCGACGAGGAGAAGAAAGAGAGCGCGAGGGGTGGGCTGAGAGCTCGCGGCACTAAGTCATTGGATTTCGGGTCTCTTGTCTAATATTATAGGCAGCAATCGTAAGGGCTTAATATTGGGGTGAAGGTAAGTGGCGTAGCAGCTGACGCCGGGTCGTCGTAGCCGCCACCGTAGCCGACGTCGTAGCCGCCCCCACTGCCTCCTCCTCCACTGTTGGCCGCTGTGCGCCGCTGTGCGCCGCTGCCGCCGCTGCCGCCGCCGCCGCCGCCGCCGCCTTTACCACCGTCGACGCTGCCACCAGGGCGCACGCACACTGCGCGCGGGGCAACTCGTGTCTTGAGGGTGTGCGGATGAGATTTAGGGAGCGAGGAGCACCGGAGAAGTCTGCGTGCGACACTGATTTGTGGCCGAGCTTTGTTCCAACCTCCGCGAGATTCGGCCGCCAGCATAAAAGCGGGCTTGGCCTCTTTCTTTTTATCAGCGGTGCTTCTTGTCTCCGTAGCCCCACGCCGATTCGAATCGCCGACCAACTGGTAATTGCCCATGCACGGCCAGACCTTTATCATGAATGCTGATCGGGGGACGCTCGACGATGCTGCCGATGCTTTTTACCGGCTGCGACAATGTCGCCAATAATGTTGCACGGTCGTACCGGACCCCGCTTCATCATTCAATCATCCTACCTGAGGACCGGTCGGGGCCGACTGCCGCTCCTGCTGGTATACGCGACTCGCCAGAGCGGCGCCCCCGTCAGACTCTCTCTTGACGCCACCCCCACCCATCCACCCACTTGACGGTCATTGCATCGTCACTACATTGCATCAACTTACCCCTAAATCTTCACACACATAACTATTCACGTCATTTTCAAAATTATCCATAGATTCATTATTAGTTCATCAATTGTGCAACTCGTGACTTTTATCCCAAAACTTCCGAGCTAATGATATCCTGCAGAGGTTTCATTAAAACTTTGTACAATGGTATCTAATACGATTGCATTGCTATTCCCTATGAATTTAGATGTTTTATAACTTTCAGCGAGCTATTGTCATAAATCGTTTATCAAGTTGATCAACTCTTTAAGCTTTCAATGAAACAATAATCCCAATTATAATTACTGAAATTTAACGTTATTTTTCTCTATAAAGAGCCTTAGTCTTGCTAATAGCGCTTGCTTAAACTACATAAATTATACATAAATCAAGCTGTAATGACTTTAACAAAATAACAAATTCATATTAAACAATTATATTCATTTGTACGAGTGGTAAAATATTATCCTCTCCACTGCAATTATAATATAATCAACGATGGTGTCCAATTATTATGATACATGAATAACAGTTGAATGAAAATGTAATTTTGAACGATCTTGAAGCTTATTTTACGATCTTAAGAAAAATATATTGCAAATAAACAAACCCTATTCACTGGAGCAGTAATTTTCTTTTACTAAAATCGATTTTTACGATTATTAATAAGTGGGTTAATTACGCAATGACAATTAATAAGCAATAAAATAAATATTATATGATTATTGATATGGTATATTAAATTATTTACGTTAAAATTAACTAGGTGAATGTAATAAAAAATGTGCACTTGCACCCTATTATGCAAATATATTACTCGAAATTTTATAAAAATTATAATTTTATAAAAAATATTTTTATCTATATATATATATATATATATATATATATATATATATATATATATATATATTGAAATATACGGTTGATTAATGCATATTTATAATTAATAATTGTAGTTAAACATATTTTGGATAAAAAAAGATATAATTAATAATTTCGAATTAACTATATATTATTTTTATATCTAAATCAATGCAATTTTTACGCGGCTAATTTTGATTATATGATGAATTTTTTAATATCTAGTATATATTTGATTTTTTATTAATCATATTATATTACCTATTACAAAAATATAATCTCTGTAAATCTATAAATCTCTTATATGTTGTTTTATTGGTGAATTTAATTTGATACTTCCTTCCTTCATTTTATCCGGAAATTTGTATTAATTTTAATATTTTCAAGGTCGTACAATTATGTCATTTCATGTAAAGATATATAATGAGCGCTCATTATATGTTTGCAGAATAAAAATTAGGAATTAATTAATGTAAATAAAGTATGTGTACAATTTTATTCAATGAATATTAAAATATTTTTTTTCATATTAATTTGCATAAATAGCGAAATTAATTAAATAAAAAATAATTAAATTATATTTAAATTCTTGTATAGTATGGGATATATATATATATATATATATATATATCTGATATGATAAGTGATTATGAATTATTCCAAATAAATAAGAAAGCTCATTGAATTGTTTTTTTAATAATTAAATATGATTTTGTATAAAAAATTTTTTAGCATTGCATTAATTTTCCAAGAAGTATCTACGTCGACATATACGCAAACTGTTTACGTGAATACAGTCGTTTATTAATAGGCAGCAGAACTAATTAATAAATCATTTATGTTAATTGATTTATTAATAAAAAATTGAGTTATTTAGCGAAGGAGATGTACAAGCAGTTTGAAAATGGTTTTTATATCAGCTAGCTACCTACGTAACGGTAACGACACCAACAACATCTAAGTGAGAGAGAGAGAGAGAGAGAGAGAGAGAGAGAGAGAGAGAGTGAGAAAGCGAATTAATGGTTGTTTGTTTTGAATTTTCCTTCAAGTTTGCCCTTCGTATGGGATCCTGTGGAAATTCAATGATATTAAATATCGAAATTACCAGGATTGGGTCGCCGGTCGTGATTGCCACCGAGTATCGCGTTGACGCTGAATTTGAGCTGAGGCTTCTCCTTCTCCTGGATCCTCCTGCACGCGATGCCCCCACTGCACTGCTCCTCGCCGCAGCTGCAGGTCTCCTCGCTGATCCTGCTGCTGCTGTCGAGCCGCTCGACCGTTTCCCTATCCAACCTCGCCTCCTCCTGCTGCGCATAAATATGCTGCTGCTGCTGCTGCTGATGATGATGTTGCTGATGTTGCTGATGCTGCTGTTGTTGCTGATGCTGATGGTGTCTGACGAATTCGAAGTGACGATCCGAGGAGAGATGTACCGGCGGGAACCGACCGGTGATCTCGTCGCGCTCGGGTAGACCGTCGAGTTCGGTGCCGGAGCCTCTGTCCTCGTCCATCGAGTTGTTCGAGTCCATGGCCGAGCCCGACCTGTTCTCTAATCTCTCCGAGAGCCTCTCCATCGCGCTTAGTCTGTCTATTGCAGAGGCCCCGTCGCTACTGTACCGCTCCCCACCGTCGATACCCTCCAGCAACACCGAGTTCCGCGCGTCCTTCTCCTGCCCGTAGAGAATTCTCTCGCAATCCTCGGGCAATCTGGATCGCGGATGCTGCTGATGTTGAAGCTCGGATGGACGACTGCCTGACTGGCTGGTCTCGTCGAGGTCCTGCTGATCAGAGAGCCTACTCGATTGCTGCTGTTGGAGCTGATGTTGCTGCTGCTGCTGCTGCTGTTGTTGCTGTTGCTGTTGCTGTTGCTGTTGCTGTTGCTGTTGCTGTTGCTGTTGCTGTTGCTGTTGCTGTTGCTGTTGCTGTTGCTGTTGCTGTTGCTGTTGCTGTTGCTGTTGCTGTTGCTGTTGCTGTTGCTGTTGCTGTTGCTGTTGCTGTTGCTGTTGCTGTTGCTGTTGCTGTTGCTGTTGCTGTTGCTGTTGCTGTTGCTGTTGCTGTTGCTGTTGCTGTTGCTGTTGCTGTTGCTGTTGCTGTTGCTGTTGCTGTTGCTGTTGCTGTTGCTGTTGCTGTTGCTGTTGCTGTTGCTGTTGCTGTTGCTGTTGCTGTTGCTGTTGCTGTTGCTGTTGCTGTTGCTGTTGCTGTTGCTGTTGCTGTTGCTGTTGCTGTTGCTGTTGCTGTTGCTGTTGCTGTTGCTGTTGCTGTTGCTGTTGCTGTTGCTGTTGCTGTTGCTGTTGCTGTTGCTGTTGCTGTTGCTGTTGCTGTTGCTGTTGCTGTTGCTGTTGCTGTTGCTGTTGCTGTTGCTGTTGCTGTTGCTGTTGCTGTTGCTGTTGCTGTTGCTGTTGCTGTTGCTGTTGCTGTTGCTGTTGCTGTTGCTGTTGCTGTTGCTGTTGCTGTTGCTGTTGCTGTTGCTGTTGCTGTTGCTGTTGCTGTTGCTGTTGCTGTTGCTGTTGCTGTTGCTGTTGCTGTTGCTGTTGCTGTTGCTGTTGCTGTTGCTGTTGCTGTTGCTGTTGCTGTTGCTGTTGCTGTTGCTGTTGCTGTTGCTGTTGCTGTTGCTGTTGCTGTTGCTGTTGCTGTTGCTGTTGCTGTTGCTGTTGCTGTTGCTGTTGCTGTTGCTGTTGTTGCTGCTGTTGATGGTGATGGTGCTGTTGTTGCATGCGGACCAGATTCTCCGCGGCGGACTCGCGCTCGCGCTGACGGGCTACCAGACTCGCGGCCCAGTTCAAGGTCAGACTAGTGAGGTCCGTGCCCGCCGGTGACTTACTCTGAAGAAGATTCTCCATGAGGAAGGAGGGCGAGGCCATCGCACTCTGCTGCAGATTCTTCAGCATTGCCGCCGAGGAAGGAAACATCACCGCACGCACAACTTGGGCAACACCGCTCGGCAGATATGATGTTTCCTGGGGGCGGAGGGAGGAAGATGTCCGATGTTGCGTTATCTTCGATTACTTTCACGAACGCATTCGTTACTGTAACTTGACAATTCTTAGGGGATGCGTTCTCTCTTATGCCGACATTTATACGCGCTCGTGAATTACCCACTCGGTTATCGGATGGGCAATGGGCTTCGCTTATACTCCAATTCCTAATATCGTTGAGTTAATTATAAAATTGATGGGAATGTGCTCGATGATTAACGATGACTATTAGCTTGTGAACTAAGAGTTATAGTTTGTATGGATATTGTAAGATTAGTCGTTACGAACGATCGTTTATTAGTTTTGCAGAATCGTTTGCAAAAAGGCCGAGATTACGATCAGCACTAGAGAATGTTGAATAAATTGATAATGTTTTTCCCGCAGTCTATATAAGATTATGGCATCACTGTGACATCTTGTCGCAATTATAAGGAATTTCTGTTATCATTGGGTGAGTGGATGCGCGTGTCTCTGCGTCACTTAATCTTACGATCAATCGGTAAAGTCCTCGTTGCTGCGAACAACCTTAGTTGGTCTTATCACTTCGTTTTGACGTAGAACAATCCGTCTTGTTGATTGGTGATATGGTCCATTCGTACGGAACTTGGACAATGCCTCGCTATATGGCTGTACGTATGTTGTAAATTGTTAGCCAAAGCGATCCCATCGCTCCTTGGGCAAGTGAATCTGCCAACGCACCATAAGAGACGAACAACAACGACAATAAGTGTCGCGCGCGTGCGTAAGAAGGACCGGCGAGCCGCTCGGTTCACGACACGAGGCTTGACTGCTCGACCCTGTCCTCGTCGAGATGTATTAAACTCTCGTGCAGGGTTGAATTCGGGGCGAGAGAAAGAGAGGGGTGTACGTGTGCGGGGCCAGGCGCACTACATGTGTGCAGCCCTCAAATGATCTGCCTCTCCGCGAATGGTCGAGTTGCGCGCGAGCTAAAGAGAGATAGAGAGAGAGAGAGAGAGAGAGAGAGAGGGTGTGTGTGTGAGAGTGAGAGTGAGAGCGTGTGCGATGGTGGTGCAGCGTGTAGCCATGAAAAAACGAGAGAAAGAGAGAGAGAGAGAGAGAGAGATAAAGAGAGAGAGAGAGAGAGAGAGAGAGAGAGAGAGATACGCGCAAGAGAAGCCGACGGCTCCTTCCCTGGCATCCCCTTCCACAATCGAGCTTGCCACCCCTTCTCGACCGTAGGAGCAGCAACAGCAGCAGCAGCAGTAGTAGCAGCAGCCCCTCGAGAATCACTATTGCTGCTACTGGTCTCTCTCTCTCAGTCTAGTCCTTCTCTTTACTTGAATGAGCTATTCCTTTTTAGCGCTAGTGCAAATAGATATACATTCGCCACTACTACTTACCTCTCGCTTCCAAGCATTATAAATATTTGAACATGCATATGTACGACACGACACGATACGTCTATTGATATTGATATGCACGCACACATAAATGCATGTTCGTGAGTTACGTTTGTCATTTCGCATATTCCAATATATAAGTACTTATGATGAGGTCATAAGAAGACATTGCACGATCGATGTGCACTTGAGAATCGAGTATTGTTGTTATTGTTGTTTTGGTGTAAGGAGTGAAATATTATAATCGCTGATCGGTTGATATTTCAAAAATTCCAATTATTCATGAGGACTTGATTAAAGGGATAGATAGCAATTTATTTTTCATATATTTTCATTGGCCGTTAACAACTATTCAATGCTCATTCCTATTAATTTCTTCTCGGTCGATATAAAAATTCTAATGACTCTCTCTTCTTCATTACACTATAATAAACGTTACAATTTTTCAATCAAACTGTAAAAGAGATATATTTTTTTAGACGAAGATAAATTATCTACGGTATATCAATTTTTAATTGTAATGGGCCAAAAAAGTAACATTAATAATGTGAGAAAATGGTGGATGTCATGGAGAGTAGGATAAATATATTTAGTTGTATGAAATATTTCAGGACAATTTACATGCTTCGAACGAATGTATAATTCGTTTATGAATACAAGTACGTCACCTTTATAAAACACTTAGTCGTATAATGTACCCTTCAGACCCTATCCCTTCCTCGCAGCTCGCACGATCTCGGCGCTTAACACAAAAGTAATTTTATTCCTCAGCTAAATCGCGCGTCTTCATCGTCCTCGTTTTTTTTATTCTCTGGATTATACATATATCCTCAGGATTCTTATATAGGTAAGATAATACCTACTATCAGTGGAGTAATTCGGGGTTTGGTTCGCTTTATTTTCCCACCTCACCGATTCTCCGCTCTCTCTCTCTCTCTCTCTCTCTCTCTCTCTCCTACCTTCCCTCCTTTCTGCCCTCACTCGCTCCGTCACTCTCTTTCTCTCTCTCTCTCTCTCTCCCTCACTCTCTTCACACACACACACACACACACACACACACATATATATATACTCCTCTCCCGATCTCTTTCCTTCTCCTTGGTAATGCTGTAATAAAATCATACTCCCATCAAGCGGTGCTGCACACCCCCTTAAAGGGGAAAATTTCGCTTTCTCGCTCTCTTGCTCGTTTTCTACACGATGATATCGTCCGACTCTCCGCGCATAAAGGGTGAAGACAGCTCGTAAGTGGAAGGGGCAAGGTGAAAGGTGGAGGTTGGAGCACGGCCTAGCCATGAAAAAACGAGAGAAAGAGAGAGAGAGAGAGAGAGAGATAAAGAGACAAAGAGAGAGAGAGAGAGAGAGAGAGAGATGTATATATTGCATTCCTTCAGTCCAAACGATTGGATTTTATTTGACGGTGCGGAAAGGCCGTCGGCCAATCGCTGCCGACCGAGGGGTAACTTTGGCCACGCCCCGTGTTATACGGCCACGCGCCCGTCGTTATATACGCGCTGCAAGGGGGTAGGGGGTAGTTGGCCGCCGCCGTAGGAACCAAAGGGTACGGAAAGAGAGGAACGGCGGTTGGGAGGGTGGAGGGAGAGAATTCTCGCGAGAATGCTACACCCTTATCAACTTTATTATCTCCACCGCCTACCGCCTCGCTCCGTGTGGGCTGCACTCGTCTACGTGGATGGAAGTGAATAAAAGCCGGAGGTCGGAGGAGGATGAGAATGAGATGAGGATGAGAACGAGGATGAGGACGAGGAGGAGGAGGAGGAGGAGGATGAGGAGGAGGAGGAGGAGGAGGAGGAGGAGGAGGAGGAGGAGGAGGAGGAGGAGGAGGAGGAGGAGGAGGAGGAGGAGGAGGAGGAGGAGGAGGAGGAGGAGGAGGAGGAGGAGGAGGAGGAGGAGGAGGAGGAGGAGGAGGAGGAGGAGGAGGAGGAGGAGGAGGAGGAGGAGGAGGAGGAGGAGGAGGAGGAGAAGGAGTAGGAGGAGGGTGAAACTGTTGGTCCCTGGACTTGGAAGATTCACGAATGGCATCGTGCGGTGCTAGGGGTAGTTCCGGCAGGTATGCGCGAAAAACGAATTGCCTCGGCGTCTGAAAGATTCGTCTCGATAGCCCTGAGCCATGCCTGCGTACAGACACAAAGCAGCGTCTGCACGCACAACATAAATGTATACGCGTATGATGATACACGCGTGCATATAAATATACATGCGTATTCATAAGTGTGCGGTATCTGTCGTTGATGGGTCTTCTCCGATCTCGAGGTCACGACATCTAAATTTAGCCCCTTTCTCGATATTGAGCTTGTAAGAGGACGTCAAACCTACATATGGTACGTGACTAGTTGTATTTATATTTGCTGGGACTGGCATTTCCAGTTAAAAACAAATAAAGGTCTGGCCGTTCCTTTCATAACCATTTGTCTCTTAAATATCGGTTATATCCCTATGGCTGCATATATATACATTTAATTATACATATATCTGCGCACGCACGCGTAACATATAATAATTAATATTATTATTATCATCATTATCATTATCATTATCACTATCATTATCATTATCATTAATATTATTATTGTCGTTGTTGTTATTAATGTTATTATTATACAGTTTCAGTAGGTGATTGTGTGTAGCGGTCTCGTAGCTAATAATGTTTAGGTCATTATGATTTAACTTAATACGGAAGGTACAATGTTGTCAGACCAAATTTATTTATATGAATTAAATTTAACCGAATGCAAGAGCATGTATTTAGAAAAGTAATACGCTGCTAGAATACAAAAGCAATGAATAATAATTTACCACATAATTATAAAGGTATTATAAGTTTATCCTTGAATTACATAATTGTGTTGTTCGCAAAAAAAAAAAAAAAAAAGAAGTCACATGCTCATAGACATAAATTAAAATCTTACAGAAATTATGCTATTGTCGTTAAAATGAATAAATTCTATGAATATAAGAAGATAAATAAATATTCTTATAATTCATACCGATAAATTATCTTGCTAAGGAAAAACAAACTTATCTGTTAGAATTTTCAATATACAGTACGTATGCAGTTTAGATATAATTGAATATCAAATAATAAATAAAAATTCTCGTCGTATATGTATGTTCTTTTTACATTTTATGTTTAATAATGAAAATTAGGAAATATTATTAATATAATCTCGACCGAATGAGCAGAATATTGTCACGATACATAACATTAAAAAAGTACATTAGATTTAAAAAATATTAAACATAGGTTGTCGTGATGAAATTTCAGCATTGCTGATAAATTTATGATTAAACTTAATTTTTTATATTTCATCGTTTACATTACGACAAAGCTCATGAAGTTTTGCATAACTTTAACTTTTTTCTAACTTACCTCCAATTGGTCAACATAATAAATAGTGAATATAATAATACATTACAAACTAATTGAATTATAAAAGTCACTTAAAACTTAAGACAAACAGTTCCAAAAGTCCACATTTATTAAATAAACTTTATTTTATACATCTGTTCTTATTATTAGGTGGCTAGAATAATAGAATAATATTAAGGATA